GGCAGGGCTACCAGACTAGGAGAAGGCTGGGAAGAGGAATGCAGTGAGACCAGGGGAGATACCATGTAGCCACTGAAGGAGTAATGTGCCAGAGCATTATACATAAGCCACAGCCTTGTGGCAATACATAGTTAATAGAAATGGGTTAATAATTAAGAGAGCACTAGCCAATAGAAGCCTGAGCCATCAGCCAAACAGTTTATAATTAATATAAGTCTCAGTGTGTTTATTTGGGACTTAACAGCTACGGGACCAGGCTAGGACAGAAACTTCCATCATCAACCCATGGTTTATTTATCATATTTATAATTAATATAAGTCTCAGTGTGTTTATTTGGGACTTAACAGCTACAGGACCAGGCTAGGACAGAAACGTCCATCATCAACCCATGGTTTATTTATCATATTGCCTATAATATGCTAGGAGAAACAAAAATTAGATGTTCAGTCTGTGATATTCCTAAGTATGCAGACTCAATGAATTTTTCCTAATTTAATTTAGAGCTTAAGTTCTTTCCCACATGATTCATAATCCTCTACACTCAGTATAGCATTTCATGCTATACCCTAAGTATCCTCACTTTGTGGGCTCAAAATCTATAGTGTATCCTCATTAGCATATTTAGTGCTAAACACTGTACTTATGTAAAACAGGGTGTTTTCATAATCTAGTCCAGTTGTTATAGTTCTATTCTTATGAACACAATTTAAAAGAAATTCCCAAGTTGATGTTAATCTTGTTAATTTGTTGAGATTTAGAGCTACCTTGGAGTCAAATCTCTGGCTTTTCTGTGATGGATTTTCTAGACTCAGTTAACTGTAGTAGGTAGACCAGCTTCACACCCAGCTCAATTAAAAAGGAGAAAGAATGTCTGGCTTTTGTCTCTTGTTTCTTCCTGACGGTGGATGCAACAGGAATAGGTGCTTCAAGCTCCCGTTGCTATGATTTCCAAGCCATAATAGATGGTACTCTGGAACTGTGAGCAAAATAAATGCTTCCCTTTTAAAAGCTGCCTTTGTTAGGGTATTTTTGTCATAACAAGTCAACTAATACAGAAAATTGAGGTCAGGAATGGGGTTGTGGCTGTCATAATCTGACCACGTGGTTCTTAGGCCTTTGAAGTGAATTTGTGGGACAAATGTGTAAGAGTTTGGAACTTTGTGTTAGAGTTGATGAGGTGAGAAGAGCTTCATGAGCCATTCTGGTGGGAGTTAAGAAGAACACAGGAAGAAAGATGTGGGCCGTGGAGGTCTGACTTCTGAGGCATCAGAGGAGGACAGGAACTCTTTTGGAAGCAAGGGTAGAAGACATTCATGTTATACTCAGGCAAGGAATCCAGCTGCATTCTGCACATGTCCCCAGGAGGATAATAAAGTGGAGTATAAAAACAATTGATTAGCCAGGCATGGTGGACTACACCTTTAATCTTAGCACTCAGAAAGCAAAGGCAGATAGATATCTATTAGTTCAAGGCCAGCTTGGTCTACACAGAGAGTTCCAGTCCAGTCAGGGCTGCAGAGTGAGACCCTGTCTTAAAACAATAACAACTCCAAACCACCAACACTGCCAACAAAGCAAAGCAAAGCAAAACAAACAAAAAATAATGACTAATGTGTTTGGCAGAGGAATTTCAAGGCAGGCTAGTATTTAGCCTGTTGCATGCTTTTTGTTCATCACACTTATCTATGTTTATAGAAAAAAAGAACAACAGGTGGGCAGAATATTTTTTTAATGTATAGTTTGTCAACAAAAAGAGACAAGTTTAAGTTGCAGTCATGTCACACATTAAAAACAAGACTTAGCTGTTCAAGAGAGATCATCTGCTCTTCACCAGGACAATAGAAAAATGTCATGAGGTCAAGACTCCACCAATCAAAGGCTCCAGATTTTGATGAAAAACAAAAATTCATTTGAAAGCAGAGAGCCTAAGATGATAATGACACTGGAGGAGTTCCTTGCTCCTGGAAAGCAAATGTCTAAGGAGTCCCATGGTTAGCAAACATAGGCTGCTCTAGCTATGGTCCATGGAGGCAAGTCTCTATCCTGAGCTGACAGTAGAACTAAGAAGTGTCATCTATATGTCACTAGTTGGGTAGGCATGTAAGATGCAAGATTATGGAGATCACAGAGTTTTATACTAGTTTCAGAGAGCAACTAAGCCTAGGCAATATGGTAGGGTTGGAGTCCCTGAGAGGCTGTCATATGAAAGTAAAAGTGAAGTCCAAGTTGCAGCAGAGACCCCAGGATGTTGGAGATCGCAGAACCATGGGATGTCTGCCAAAGATACATGCATGGAGTGGAGCTGACTTAAGAGAAGGGCTGTGAGGCTGGAGAGATGGCTCAGTGGTTAACAGAACTTGCTTCTCTTGCAGAGGACCTTGGTTCAGTTCCCAGAACCTCTGTGACAGTTCACAACTGTGTGGATCACTTCCAGAGGATCCAATGTCTTCTGGCCTCTGCGGGCACTACATGCGTATATGTGGTACTCTTGCACACATGCAGCCAAACCATTCATACACAAAATTAAGAAATAAAGCCTCCTTTTAAAGAGATTCTTTGTGTTCTGCAGGCAGCAGAGCAGGAGGGGCAGGGCAACCTAGGCCTTTTAGAGCCCAGCTGATTTCATCATGAGCTGTAGGTGCCTGACATGGAGTTGGAAAATGTGATGTTTGCTGTGCTTGGATTTGGTCTGCTTTGGTCTGACCTTCCCTTATTTCTCCCTTTTGGAATGAGAATGTTCACACTGTGCCATCATATGTTGGAACTATGTAATACCCTTTCTGTTTTATAGGGGCTCAGAGTTAAGAGATTGACTTAGTCTCGGAAAAGACACGTTGAATAGTATCGGAGCTGTCAAAGATTATGGGGACTTTTGAAGTTGAAGTAAATGCATTTGCTTTATGAGATGGGCATGGTCCTATGGAAACATGAAGTGGAAGGAAATTATTTTAAGCATTTGCTTTATGAGATGGGCATGGTCCTATGGAAACATGAAGTGGAAGGTAATTATTAATTGTTTGTGTGTCAAATTGACAAGGGGTAGAGTTGTGAAGATTAATTTTGTGAACTGGATGGAATTTAGAATAACCTTGGAGATAAATCTTTGGACATATCTGGGAGTGATTTTCTAGATTAAGTTAACTAAAGTAGAAAAACCCACACTAACTTCCCAACCAGACACAAATGGAAAAAAGGAGGCCCTGGCATTCATCTCTTTACTTCCTGTCTGCAGATACAATCTGCCTGCTTGCCTCAGGTCCTGCTGCCTTAAATCCTCTGCCTCAAGTCCTGCTGCCATAAATCCCCTGCCTCAGGCTCTGTTGCCTTAAATCCCCTGCCAAGATGGGCTATGAAACTGTGAAAATGAACCCTTCCTTAAGTTGCTTGTGCAAAGGTATTTTCACAGCATAGGACAAGTAACTAATACACCAAGTGGGCACACCACAACCCCAGAAACATATATGGTATGCCTTAAATATGTTTTAGTTAACCATTACCCTGCTAGTCAATATCACCCAGAGTTCCCTCAAATGTTATTCTGGCTCTTCCAAATCTACCGCCATACATCAAAGAGGCTTACCTGTCTGTTTCTCCATTGCTTTCTTTCTTCACAAATATTTCATATCCTGTATTTGCTTAGACCTGTAAGTGTTTCTGTGTAGGGTAAAAAATATCTACCCTACCACTTTATCTTTGGATCATAGCTTCTTAATGCAATAGCAGGGTTTTGTTTAAGATAAACAATAAGCTTCTTTTCAGTTTTAAAATTCTTTGATTTCATGTATCACAGCCAAATTTTCTCAGGATATATGCTAGAAAATTAGTCTAAGTAAAATGGAATTGAGTTAGTGCCAAAAACCATTCTCAGTAAAATCCTGAAGTTAGCAACACACACACACACACACACACACACACACTGTCTGGTCAGCTTTAAGGACTAACCCTCATAACACTCCAGCGTTTTGAAGCTGTTATATGTATTACAAACGGGTTTGTCCTGCTTTTCAAACCCCTTTCTTTGTGTAAAGACAAATTGAAATCCTTCAAAATGCATTAAGTCGTGAGAGAGAGAGAGTTAAAGCTTGAGTAAAATTGCCTTCTAATGTCAATATGGAACCTCTCCCCAGAGACGTGCGGGATCCAAGAGCACCACGTCAGTGTCAACCTGATCCTGTACATACCAACTGGGGACATCCATATTGGTGAGCATTTTCGTAGTGTCTTTTAGAGACCACCCTTCGTGTGTTAGACTTCCACCAAGAACAGGATTTCCTCAGACTGTTGT